ACAAAACGGAAGGGTCGAGCGTAAGCATCGACACATTCTCAATGTTGCTCGTGCTCTCCGCTTTCAGGCATTTCTTCCGATTGATTTTTGGGGGGAGTGCGTACTTACCGCTGCATATCTCATCAATCGTACTCCTTCAACTGTGCTGAATGGCAAAACCCCTTATGAACTTATGTTCGGTTGTCCACCGGTGTTGACACATATTCGCACCTTTGGATGTCTCTGTTATGTTCACAATCAAGATCGACGTGGCGATAAATTTGAATCACGTAGTGTGCAGGGTATTTTCCTGGGCTATCCCCATGGGAAGAAAGGATGGCGTGTTTACTGTCGGGACACTGGAAAATTTATCCTCTCACGTGATGTAATTTTTCATGAACATGTTTTTCCATTTCAGGAAAATTTATCTACAGCTGCGCCGGTAGCCAGTCCCCTCATGACATACCTAGATGATGACGATGATGTTGGGATTCTACATCCATCAACAAAGGGGGGCCGTATCTCTTCTTCACAGGTTCCTGAACCTGCTGCTGTTTCTGATCCAAATCCGACGGGCCATCCAGAGTCAGAAGCTGCTGTCCAGCCGGCAGATGTTGTCCAGCTGCTAGATACCTCTTCAACGGCAGCAGCTCAAATTCCATCCGAGCGTCCAGCCGGCCCGTCGGTCTCTTCCAGTGATGAACCTCCATCTGTCTTGGGTCGTGGTCATCGTCAAAGAACACCAAATGTACGGCTTGCGGATTATCAAACATACGCCGTTACACATGATATCTCTAATGTTGCCTCCACTTGTAAATATCCCTTGACGCATCACATCGGATATGCTCGTTTTTCAGCTTCTCACCGGGCTTATTTAGCCGCCATTGACTCCGGTTTCGAACCGCTGTCTTATAAAGAGGCTGTCAAGTCGCCGCATTGGCGGCACGCTATGTCCAAAGAAATCACTGCACTGGAGAATAATGCTACCTGGAAACTTGTCCCATTGCCACGTCACAAAAAGGCTTTGGGTTGCAAATGGGTCTACCGGATCAAAAGGAAGTCTGATGGCTCGATCGAGCGTTACAAAGCTCGGCTTGTTATTTTGGGAAACCATCAAATTGAAGGAATTGACTATCAAGAAACTTTTGCTCCGGTTGTTAAACTTACCACTGTTCGGGTTCTTCTCGCTATTGTTGCTACACGCAATTGGGAGATTCATCAAATGGATGTTCACAATGCCTTTCTTCATGGTGATTTGATAGACGAGGTATATATGCGACCACCTCCAGGCTATCATTCCCAAACACCAGAGTTAGTGTGTAAATTACAGAAGTCTCTTTATGGTCTGAAGCAAGCACCACGGTGTTGGTTTGCCAAACTGTCTGGAGCATTGCGTAGATATGGTTTTGTTCAATCCCACTCTGATTATTCATTGTTCTCTTTCCACCAAGGTGTTTCTGTGGTGCATATTCTCGTCTATGTTAATGATCTGGTAATCGCTGGAAATAATTCTCTTGAAATTTGTCGTTTCAAAAATTATCTCTCCGACTGCTTTCATATGAAGGATTTGGGTACTCTCAAATATTTTCTTGATGTCGAAGTGGCCCGGAATTCTACGGGTATTTTCTTGTGCCAACGGAAATATGCCCTTGATATTATTTCCGAAACGGGATTGCTTGGATGTCGCGCGCTTGGTGCTCCTATGGAGCCTAACCACAAACTCGCCTTGGATACTGGCCCCTTATGTGACGACCCAGGTGCATATCGTCGTCTAGTCGGAAGGTTGGTTTATTTGTCTGTTACCCGTCCAGACCTTTCTTATGCAGTTCATACGCTGGCTCAATTTCTTCAAGCACCAAAAGTTGCGCATTGGAATGCAGCCCTAGGTGTGGTTCGATATTTAAAAGGTGCTCCCGGTCATGGCATTCTTTTACGTTCTGACAGTTCTCTTCGCTTGACTGGATGGTGCGATTCAGATTGGGCTGCTTGCCCATTGACCCGTCGCTCTTTGACCGGATGGTTTATCCAACTGGGTGTGTCCCCCATATCTTGGAAAACTAAGAAACAACCCACGGTTGCCCGTTCTTCTGCTGAGGCTGAGTATCGTTCTCTTGCCGCTTTAACGTGCGAACTCAAGTGGTTACGTGGGTTATTACGTTTCCTTAACGTCTCTCATCCAACACCGATGCAGATTTTCTGTGATAGTACCGCCGCACTTCATATTGCTGCAAATCCTGTATTTCACGAACGCACAAAACATATTGAAATTGACTGTCATTTCGTTCGTGATGAATTATTACGTGGGACCATCCGTACATCCCATGTTTCAACTCATAATCAGTGTGCAGACATTCTCACAAAGGCTCTTGGAAAGGGACGGTTTGATGCTTTACTACCCAAGTTGGGCGTTTGTTTGTTACACGCTCCAACTTGAGGGGGGGTGTTAGAGAATAATATGATAAATATTATCATTTATGGCTAAAGCACAATTAGTGGACATTCCTTGTTAATATTTGTTACCTATTTTATAGCTATGTTATAGATGGTAGATATGTATAATGAATAGGTTTCCTTGTATATTTGACGGCTATATATGTGGCAGCCAATCGTATCAATAAACACACAAAAATATATTGTCCCATACAAACCTTGTCAGACCCAATTTTTCAAGAAAGTAGAAGCAAATATTATATCCCATTACCCCTGAGTTTCTTCTATAGTTGCTTCCTTCAAGATGTCATCGGAACCCCAAGGCTTTTCTGTTGCGGTGACGGTCAATTCAATATTACTTTGCAGATAGCGATTTTTTATTTTATTTTATCCATTCATTACCGTGCAATAGCAATTGTTTAATCTTGATTGGAATTTTGGGTGCAGTTTAAACTTGTGAAATTGTTATATGGGTATCTAATTTGGGCGTGGTATCTCATTCTTCATTTCTTTGGTTGATTATTAGGGCATTTTTTTTCATTTCTTCAGCAAATTTCTCTTCATTTAGGTAATTTCTTGACTCGGGTTACACAATGCTGATACTATTTGAAGCATTTGATAGAAAAAAATGTTAATAGATTAGTAAAATTGTTGTGTTTTGTGTTTAAATAATTCATAGAGAATACGAATTCAAACACTTGTTGTGGACTAAGGGATAAAATGGTTATTTAGCACATTCAGATTACCTATTCAGCGTATAAAGTAAACAACTTGTTGTGTTAAAGTCACTTAATTCAGACAGACATCTTAATTCATACAAACGTCTTAATTCAGATATGGCTTGATGGGAAAAAAAGTAAGCGGCCTCATAGTAACTCATGGACGGTCATGATACTATATAATAAAGTACAGGAGCCGATTAATCCCGTTGATCTCTCTTTGAGCACACTCAGGTAGGAATGGACCGGTTCCGGGCAGACCCGCCTGTGACCCGGACCGGTACTGATTAGTACCGGCTCGGCCCGTGAACCGGGTCCGGGCCCGGTCCACTAGGCCCGAACCGGGGGAATGTGAAGGCGGTTACGGGTCTCGAAAAACAGGGACCGGTCTAGACCTATAACGGCTATTTTTAAAAAAAAATGTGGCCTTTTATCCGTTGGGAAAAGTCCCAAACGGCTCTATAGCCGATGGAGGCTTGGAGGGGGGGTACATAAAAATTCTATATATACTCCTATTTTCTATACATTTTTCTACACCTCTTCTTCAACTCTTCCTAAATCCTACTCTCTATTCTCTAATACTCTTAATCATCTTCATCTTCATCTTCTCCAATTCTCTCTGCATATATTTATACAATATATATTTATTGTATCTCTACACCTATTAATATATATATATATTATTCATATCTATTTAAATTAGTTATACAATTATATCTACTTATATATTTATTATCTACTTAGAAATACATATATTATACTTGTATCTACTTATATTTATTATCTACTTAATATCTACTTATAAATACATATATTATATCTACTTATATTTATTATCTACTTATTATCTACTTAACATATACTTATTGTATTTACTTATATTTACATATTATATCTAATTAATATATTAAGTATATATATTAAAGTATTAAATATTTTAGCATTGTTTAATATTTGTTACATTTTAAGATGGAACGTGGTAGACATTCTATAGATATGGGTAATCTCCAACGCAAAGGTAAAGGACATATCGGGTCTTCTTCTCAAAGCCGAGATGATTTTGACACAAATTGTGACTGGAGAGATGCGTTTTACGAGGAAACACCTAAAGAGGTACAAGGCCTTCAGCAAACCCCGACAAGGAAACACTCGACGACGACGGAAACGATAAGAAAGGTCAATCTCTCCTTATGAATAACAATTACACTGAATGGAAGGAAACGACAAGTAGAATGAGGTGGGCAACTTGTTACCATTGTAACGAGAAAATTTGCTTGGAAATTTCGCATGGATACAAGGGCGCGGATAGACATTTGATGACAAACCACCCTGAGGAGTATGCAAAATTAAAAGAAAAAGGGATGTGAAGTATTTTTTCACGCTTTTTTAAAATAGGCTATTAACTATATTATCAATTGCACTTCATATTTCAATATATTTCATGTTTTGATTTTTTCCCGATTGATTATTATTTATTAGAAAATGTATTTCTTTTTTTTTTTACATTTTTCTCAATTCTCAATTGTACTTCATATTTCAATAAATATACTTTAACTTTTTTATATCTAGCAATTCTTGAATTAATTTGTAAACAACCTAAAAAAAGCACGGACCCGTCCAGACCCGACATGGTACCCGGCCGGGTAAGCCAGCCCGCCCGGTAGCTATCCGGGCCGGTTCCGAGACTAACCCAAAAAAGGCAAACTCGGGCCCGAGCCGTGGCCTGAGCCGAACCGGGCCCGGTCCATCCCTACACTAGAAGTGCAGAAGTACTTCTAGTGCTCTAATTTACTCTTAGAAGAGTTTTTTCAGAAGTTGGGGGATCAACTTCTAAAAAATGCTTTTGATTCTTCTTTTGTTTTTAAAAAGAAGTACAAGGAGAATCACACAATCATCAATTTAATTGGCAAACTAAATAGCACCCATACAACTCATTGATAATCAAAAGCTCTCTGTCTGGGTCTTTCATTGCCCAAAACTCAATTCATACAGTGATGCTGCCGAAATAGAATGCATGTAATACGTAGTATAACTGCCATCCTTAACATGAGCTAAACCACATATAGAACATCTACACTTGATCCGTTGATGGATGGAAATAAACAGTGCATGTCCATTGGGAAAGAATAAAGAGAGAGCAATTAGGGTGGGGTATATGGGTGACTAAGATACACAAAAGAAAAAGGTAAGAAAAAAGAAATGAACTGGAAATGGAGGGTAGGAAATGGAGAGGAACTGGACTCATCCAATTTCTTCACAACTGTATTGATAACTAACCGGCGGCTGCTAGTTCTCAGTAATCTCTCCACAATCTTCGATCACAACCTCTGCAGAAGGCTTCCCTTGAGGCGAACCGACGTGCTCCATCGCTTTAACAACAGTGCTATACCCATCAACCACCTTCCCAAACACAACATGCTTCCCATCAAGCCAAGTTGTCCTATCCGTGGTGATAAAGAATTGGGACCCGTTCGTGTTTGGCCCAGCATTCGCCATTGAGAGAAGACCGGGCTCAGTGTGCTTCAGCTTAAAGTTCTCATCATCAAACTTCGCTCCATATATCGACTCTCCACCTGTTCCATTGCCTTTTGTGAAATCCCCACCTTGGCACATGAAGCCCGGAATAATGCGATGGAATTGAGAGCCCTTGTAATGTAAGGGTTTCCCTGATTTTCCGATTCCTTTCTCTCCTGTGCACAGAGCGCGAAAGTTTTCTGAGGTTTTGGGTGTCACGTCTGAAAATAGTTCCATTACTATTCTTCCTGCCTTACATTTTTTCACTGCTATGTCAAAGAAAACCTTTGGGTTTTTTGCCATTTGAAACCTGACAATGAAATTCACCAAAGAAAACCTGAATTTTTCAGCAAACAAGACAATAAATCTTTGGCATAGCTACTAAAGGGTGTTCGGCCCAGGGGCCATTTACAATCCAGAAAGATAAAGTGTTCTAAAGTTTTTAATACTCGCCCTGCGCCTACAAAACAAGTTCCTGATTCATTTATATAGAGTTAACTCTGATTAATATTAAATTAAAAGTAATGCATTAAGAATACGTTACAACTTATGCAAAACAGCAAAACAGAAATCAAATATAATTAAAGTTTGATAGATGAAATAAAACTTCAAGAGCATGTTCAATGAGCTGCAGGAACAAAACAAGAACACACTTTTGGGAAGACGATTATATAAAAATGAATTATTGCTTTTACCTAACGTACAAAGATAGAAAATTATGCTTATCACCAATGAACAGGTTTTAAAAAGTCCATTTTCTGTTCTAGAACTATTACCAGCATAGGAATTCAACACAATTCCCTATTGTAAATACTAAGCTCAATAAACTAACAAAGCATGTGTCAACGAAGGATGGACATCTATTTCAGCAAAAGAATTCTTATTAAATGTTCAAAACCAAGAATAAAGAACACTACTGAAAAATCTTCAAGTTCCTGCTTAAATCAGCTACACTGCAAGTCTAACAAAAATTCAAAATGGGGTTAACATCTAAGGAGCATGTTGTTGATTTGGAACTAAAACAAATATTGGTTAAAAAGAAATAACCCCAAATTGCGTCACACCCTATCCGTACAAGACTAGTAGACCTACACTGCCAATTACAAAAAACGAAATAAAATGTTCATTTTATAATGATTTATCCTCCATCAAATCAAGAATTGTTGATCAAGAGGATATTAAAAACCAAAATGAATGATTTTTTTGCACAGTTTTTGAGCTTTACTGGGTTTCATCAAGCCCCCATCAAGCCTTCGATATGTGCTTCAATTCCAACAATAACTTGAACACAAGCAGAAGAATACAGTACCTTCAGGAGCAAGAATAGAGCACAGTAGTAGATTGAGTGAAGGGTTTTAGCCTTTAGGGTTTTACCGGGGCAGACAGTGGTTATATATAAAGGGATGACAGGAAGAAGAGTCTAGGGTTCTTTATTTTTGTACTAACTAATACTCCGTACTAGTACTCTAGTAAGCATGTTTTTTATTTAATTTATTTCAATTCCAGATTTAATCAAAATAAAATTAGATCAAATAAGATTAAATTAGATTATATCAAATTACTCATAAACTAAATCAGTTCAGATCAAATGAAATCAAAATAAGCTTAAATAAACCAGAGATTTACATTACAATTAACTTCACAGGAAAGTTCATTTGCGAAAAAATATTTTCTTATCCCCCCCACAGAGTACGAAATATTATCAATATGAATTACGTAGAGTCCGTTTAGTAACACTGAAATTGATTGAATCGGTTGTTTCTGCTTAAATTTAGGAAGTCCTAACTGAAGTGACTTGATTGGTTGATCCTTCTTATTTATGAAAAATTATATTTAAAATATTTTTTATTAATAAAATAAAGAAAAAAAGTATATCAAAAATAGCTAAAATGATCATCTACAATAACTTCGGTCCATAGAGCCAAAAAAGTAACTTCAATCTTACTTTTTCTTATTATTACACAACTTATCGCGCAAAATCAAAAGTTACGTGTTCCTAAATTTCCCGTATTATTTTAAATATTCTTTCCATGTTATGAAATTTAAATTAATCTGCAAATATCTAGGTTTACTTCTAATCAAAGTGGAAAGTTGCTTGATTTTGCTCATTATTTATACCATTAAGCAAACTTGACCTTCACGAAACTGGTTTTAAAGATGTCTGTGTAGCTGTAGTTTTGTAGATGTACTAGCAGCCTTGTGGATGTAAATTTGTAGACACTTGAATTCTACTCTACGAGTTTTTGTAAAGATGGACTGCTCTTGATTTTATAAGTATGATAGGGAATTCCCAAATAAACTTTACACTTTGATTTTACAGTTTTTAAGAAATTGGAATTTTTACTTTTGACTTTTTCATAAGACCCCTACAAAAAGTAGATTTAATGTAGTGGAAGAGGGAAAATGAGTGTAAAGTGTGTAATAAAGTAAATGTATAAGGGCAAGTTTATATTAAAAACTTACCAAAAGTAGAAGTATGAACTTTATTTTGGACCCGTACAAGAAAGAAAGTGTGAGGAGACCACACCCTCGACCCTCCCATTTGAGTTTCTCTTAAATCAAAATTTGAAGGGTCTAGTCTGAATTTAAGTATGGGTTATAGGATATTGTGGAATACAAAAAACACTGAATTGAAGTATATAAAATACACAAATAAAGACAGCAACAAGCCCACAAGTCGTCAAGTGGTTTACTCAAGATGAAACGCTAAACCATAAGAATTGAAAATCAGTATCAGTAACTCATTAAGTATGTCACACTCGGTCACAGTAAGCACATCCTATCAATTTGGTAATTGCAGATATGATCACAATGAACAAATATTACAGAGGATAATAAACTATATGGATCAACCAAGCCACTGTGTACATTTCCTATCACCACTGGCTCCAACCGAGTGCCGAATACTTATCTTCTCATTTGCGTATTTTTCCTGAAGCCATTCAAATCCATTCACGTCCAGCTTGCCAGAGACTGATTTTCCGTGCTTCCTCCTCACCTGCTGCTCTCTGACAGACGCCCACAGTTTGCCAATGGCTTCCCGTTGTTTAGAAGTGAACCTAGACGCATTATCAAAGGCATGTTTCACTAAGATGTCTATTCCTGTTTGGCACCTGGTAAGACGCACAACACTTCATAAGCAAGACATGCTATTTATAAGGGAGTTTGGGAAAAGACTCGAGGCTTCATTTGTTTTCAGAACAATAAAATCTTCATGAAAATTTGGTCCATGATATTATATTTCAATAAAATGTTATCCCTACAAATGGGTGGTTCAATGTATATATATAGAATGCTATTTCGATAAATACAATGGAAATTTTCCAAAACAGGAATAAAAACAAAGATGTTTTTTCTACATAGAAATACTATTTTCCCTCTAGATAGAAGTGAAGTTTAGTACTGTCATCCTGAAATCATTCTACCACATTATGACATCATGCAGCATTAAAAATTTAGCAATATGATCTCATTATGCCATTATGATTTCAGGATGATAACATTTACTCCTATTTAGAGGGAAAACATGACGTTTCTGTTTAGGAAAAAAAACTTGTTCCTACTCCTTTTTAGGGCAATATCTAAAAACAGAATGCTTCTAGATCCAAATAAAAGAGAATGACATGTTATAAAATCACATACTATGTTAATGCTTCACTCTTAAAAATCTTCACTCTAATGATACCCTACAGAATCAAGGACAATACTTTCCCATATTTTACAGTGCCAAACTGTAAACCCTTCTTTTCTTTCTGTGCCAAATGAGGGGGAAATCAGAAAAAACTTCTAGGGAAATAAACAAATGGAGCCTTAAGTTTGAGAAGAATTTGACCATGGGGTTTTGTAGCGTTTTGCTGCTATCTCTAAGCACAATATCCATGCTTCTCGTTTTGACTTGAGAAGTGTCTTGGCATCCTCCACTTCTTTCCTTTCTTTGAGCGCCTTTGCTTTCCCATCTTTTTTTGACGTGCTTGGAATCAAAGCATCCAGGCCAAATGGGTCTTGCTCCTCTTTATTATTTACTATTGTTACCTCAGATGAAGTGTCAGGATTCTGCCCATTGGCATTTTCAGCCTGTGTCTTATCCTCCAAGGAAGCAGCTTCGTCTATGTCATCATCTTTTGTTGCAAGTGGAAGGTTTGAAATGCCCTCTTTTATTTTCCCAGTAGCTTTTGAAAACTGGCAAAAATATAAATATGGTTGATTATGAAAAATAAATGATGAATAATACGCCTTATTTTTTCCCAAAAGAATCTAAGCTGGGAGGAAAGGAGGCACTCAAGTTCGTCTCAAATAAAGACTTCTATTTGAATACTTACATTTTTCCAAAAAAAATCCTATTTGAACAAAAGAATCAAATTTTCATTATATATGGAATATACTTCTCCATATAGTGTCCCGAACAAGTTAGCTATGCCAAGTTTAGTTAAGCCTACACTAAATGATTATTTCCCATAGTTGTACCTTATGAAAATCACAATGTTATACTTTGATAGTTTGATGAAACAAGACTCTTTTTAGGAGAAAAGTTGTAGCATTTAAAAACTGAACTAATATAACAGCTGCATACCACAAAACTGTCATCGGTGAAAAGATCATTGGCCACGATCGCTCTGATTGTCCATACGGTAAATAAACTTTGCTGCTTCTTTGGGAGGCACTATACAATTAATATATTATCAGAATGAGCTAATCTATCATTTACTCATTTAGCATTAACACATCATATGGAGACTAATTCAAAAATTCACCTCAACAACGTCTTGAGAAGCAGTGAGCAATGCATGATAATCAGCTCGTAATGATGGCTCATTGCAGGCGGTGGGAGATGACATTGCAGCTTCAAGTATAGCAAAAAAATGTTCACTAGTTGAGGGTTTAACACTACCGGCCTGAATAAGTTGGATTGCAAGCTTTGATGCCTTATTGAACTTTAAGGGGTTCTTTATATGTGATGATATCTTCTCCATAGCTTCTATTACTTGACTTTCAGATGCATCGGTGGTGGTTTTAAATCTCAGTCGTTTTTCAGAAGTAGAAGCTGAAATACAAAAGGACAAAATATCTTATTTCTGAATTCAAGGTAATAATCAGCCATCACATATCATCTGAGGGCGTAAAGGCTCTAATAATAATGAAAAGCATGATGTACTTTTCGCAAGCATCACACTTTTCCCAATGATAGTAACACAATGCATGAGTTAACAGGGAGCCCATTGATATTTCATTTTCACTAAAATAGGTCAGAGAACAATATAATAGGTAGGTGAAATTTGGTTTTGGCTTGGTACTCTCAGACTCAGTCTTCAGCTCGGTCCGGTTTCAGTTTAGTTCAGTTTTTTTTTTGGGGAGTGGGGGGGGGGGGGTCACTTTTGTTTCAGTTTGATCGTGTGGAGAAAGTCATATAGAACATAACTCGAAGCACACATGATTTGGTTCAAGCCTTCAAGGTAGTCAAAAGTGCCCGCCTAAATAGTGGCACATCGGAAGCGCACAAGCGCAGGAAGCGCTCAAGCTTGAACTTATTGCACCTGAGTGCGGTAATTTTTTTTTAGCTCTTTTCCCTTCCACAAAGATCTGGCGATTCTGGCCTACTTTAGACGCACATACACATATTACACATTATTCCACCCAAACAATAGGATCACTTCTATTACTGAGACTTCAGAGTATTATGGACTATCAGACTACCAATCTACCATCAGGACTCATGCTCCATGTGCAAGTATCATAGAACAAAACTGAACTTCTTTTCACTTCGTTTTCACTATATTGGTTCTCTTTCTCTTTCCCGTGGTTCTCAAAAGTGCGTGCCTCATCGCTTAAGCGCGCCAGATGCAGCGAGCATGGCATCCAGCGCTTGGGAGAAGGGGAGACACATGTACATGAGTTAGGCACAGCTTAAGCGCAGAAGCGCATGAGGCGCTGAAGCGAACAAAGTCGCATGTCTGGGTCGCCTGATAAGGCTGACAGCCTTTTTTGTTTAAAACCTTCAAAAATAATTAGCTCATGTCTTTAATAACAATCAGCCTGTCTAAATAATATGGTAAAACACGTGAAACCTACGTAAAACCTAAGTCATGTATGTGAAAACGTAAAACCCAAGGTAAAATACTACAGCAATCATTACTCTTCATTCTACCAACTCTCCTCACTCCAGCTGCTCTACATCGATCAAGTTTTCTTCATCATCTCCTCACTTCAGTCTACGAATAGTCCTTCACAATTTAAACAAGGGGAAATAGGCTCCAATTTGATTGTCTTTTATTTTTTGTTTTAATATTAAAGCCATGAATTCTGAATTTAGTGTTTTATTTTGTGAAACATGACTTTATTTTGGTGAATCCTGTTTTTTTATGCATTTGGTTCAATGTGATGTTTGCATCATATTTGGTAATTAATGTGATATTATCTACGTAATGCACTTCACCCAAGTCAGGCGAGCGCTTTAATTGCGCCTTGCGCCTCAGGCACTGGAGAGCCCTAGCACTTTGAGTGTGCCTTTTGACTTTGACTACCTTGCTCTTTCCTTAACTTGAACAGGCACTCCAGCACTTGCAGTGAACACAGGTGCACATATAAATTGTAGTTTGGATAATTATTAGGTTAATTGTAGTAAAAGTTTGTTTGAATATGTTCAATTATTTATAAAGATAATTTAACCTCCTAAAACCATCGATTCAAAGGTTCTTCAAAATGGGTCATTGGAGTTTTTAGGGGGTTCTCCATACTCCATAGGTTGTCTTGAAAACTAGGTGAGTGTCATAAAACAGAAAACAGACAAGGTGAACGTGAACCTAAATGAAACTAGTTTCACCTCAAAACATACGGACCATTAAAGTGTATAATCAGACGCAAAGCACTTGAGCTACAATCAAATGAATCAATCAATTCACTCGTAGGAGATACGAGTAAAAAATCCATGAAGGCTGGAACTTTAATTGAGTACACACGATTAAGCAAATTATTAGCATAGAATTGTAAAAAGAAGCCCTAGGGGCATAGGCAAGATATTCAATTTTTCACAACCTACTGAATGAATTATCAAACCAACTAATAAATAGAACGATTTACATGGCTGAGGGTAGAAAGTCACCTACTTTCCGGTGGTGTTTCCTGAGGTGGCTTCGCACGTTTGAGAGCGCTCTTAAGTGCGCTCTTAAGTGCAGGGGAAGCTTCTACGCGTGTAGCTGAAGTGGCGGCAGGGGAGCTCCCGGAGACTCCGGTATTAGAGGAAGCATGGGGCGGTGGCAAATCTTCAAAGAGGTCTCCGGCCATCACCCTGTGATGCGTAACTTCTCCCTCTTGCCTATGCCGCCTACTCCCAGCGGGTCAGAGTTTTACGGGTGGGTGGAAATTCACCGGCATTCAACCCCAATTTCCCGTATTTCATCCATCCACCCGTAACCAAAAAATCATTGGTACCCGATTAAGAATAAGAACGAACCGAAAAATTCAAAGTAATCTCAACCGTTGAAAAAAAAATACTCTAGGGACAAGTAATGCGTAGTAATATGTAAATGAGTTATAATATTTTATTGCCCAGATTTTTTTAAGATAATTGATATTTTGGATTATTTCAAACAAATCACTAATAGTTGGGATTATTTCTATTCATTTTTCCTTAAGAATACCCACATTCACTCTACTTAAATAAATATAACACACTCACTTTTTAAAAATAATTCCACGCCTTCTAAATTAAATCATTCATAATTTCAAAGTAATTGTATCTTTTGGAGGTTTTATAATAAATAATTAAGAGAAAATTCCCAAAAATAGGAGTAAAAAAGTATGAAACTTCCAAAATAGAATTGTCATGTTTTTGTTTCTACAATAGGGTAATTTCTCACTAATTAACTCTAATTTCACGATATTCATGAAATAATCTGGATTCATATTTCAATCTAATACGTAGTATTATTATGTCAAATAATTTAATCAAATAATCTCATTCATTCAATCATGATCGCCAAAATGCTCCGTCACATCAACTTAGGATGTTTTATTTTGGATTCAAATTTGTTGGTCTTGTCTGGTCTGTTCTGAACTGAATTGGTCTGGTCTATGTGTATTTTATAATTATGGAAGTTTGATTTGGTTTGGTCTGTTTAGGTCTGGTCTGAGACTGAAAAAATCCAAAAGTAACATCATTAATCCCCGAATAATCACATGGTTTGAGATGTCCTAATTAATCAGATGATATTAGCAGATAACCACAAATAAAATAAAAATAAAAATAAAATAAAAAAGAAGTTAGAAATGAATGAAAAACTAGCTTTCTTAATTATAGATTAATGATAACAAAATTTTCATTAGTAAATTAAATAGATTAATGATATATACACATACACACACTAAAAATTACTCCAAAATAGGAACCTTAAGGGTCAAAAAGAACTTCATGTTGCTCGTCTGGTGGTCGACGATTTGTGTTGCTTCTGTTGGAAAAATGTGTTAAATTGCACTAAATGGTCAATTTTTGTCATAATTTTGAGTGGGTCCCACCCTGTTTTGGGTCATGTTAAAGAGTTTCATATTCTTCTTGTTAAGGGTTTCAATTTGATATATGGTACACTCAAAACAGATAATGGGTGAATGAGAAATTGATTCTCGAAGTTCACTCCTTCAAATGGAAAAAACTAGGAAAGAAATGGGTTGCTAGCGTGATTTATCTCACACCGGAATACCCCTGGGATTTTCACCCCCCCCCCCCCCCCCCCCCCTATAAAGGTTGCCCTCTTTGAAGGAGTTAACATTCCTATGTGGAAAGGCTCTCTTCACACGCAGGGGGTGCCGATGAAATCCCGAAAATTGAGAAGAAAAATCGCGACTTGCGTACGCGGGCGACCTGTGGACAAGAAGGACATCCAAAAATCCATCTTACAAAGATACAATTTAACTTTTGTTTCTTCCCGTAACGTTCCTATTTTTTTCCAGAATCAGCAGGCTGGGAGAGAAGGCTTCTGAACCGTTACAGCCTTAAGTGTCAACGTTCTTCTCCTTTATTGCATCTTTAAATGGACAATTTTTCGACATATTGATGTCCAACGTTCTGGTCATTTATGTCCAACATTCAGTTCCATTAAAGCTCACTTAACACACAACAAATTCATCCCTGCATAGTTGGCAGGTACTTCTCAACAACACACGGCACAACACATTCCACACGTTGTTTTCAGCTAAAAACGCCTCCAGCTTTCTGAAAAACTCACCATTCATACTTTGTTTCTGTTCGTCGGAACAACCAATTGTGTGCTCATGCGGTTGTTCGTAGTCACCGTATCCTGGGAAACTATCGATGCAATGCTCCTAGCACCGTGGGAGGCAACGAATAGGTTTTAAGGAAATTGTGTGTTGCATAAGTTTTGGTTTTATGTCCCTTCTTTTTTCTGTTTTTCTTGCCTACTTTATTTAATTAATTTCTTTATTTTCCGATTCAACACACCAATTTACCCATCAACTTCTTTGGATGTTGCCTTATCAGAATCTGATTGTAGAGCATTTTTTATTCAAGATGGCGTTTTTTGGAAGAACGTTGGTGGAGTTTTGAGGTTTTGGTAGGTTGTAAGTTGTAATTCCAAACGTTTATTTACATTAATATAGTTTGACAATTTCCTTTCAACAAAAACAATAAAATTATTATTTTTTAACTAAAAGCAATACAATAAAGAAATTTAACTTGGAAGTTAACACATTTTCAAATGGAGTTGTGCTTTATAATTACTTCATAGTATATATGAACCTCTAATTTGAATATCTGAATAATTCGTAGTGCGTACAATTTTATTTTAAACTTTTGATAACTAAAATGAAATATTATATACTCAAATGGATTGTAATTTAATAATATATGAGGTATTAATTGAACCAGCTACATTCAATTTCAAATGCAGTATAATATTTGAATGTTTTGAATAACAATTAAAACATGGTCTAGAAACATAACCCCATAAGATTTAATAAAAATTAATGAAGTACATAACATGAGAGAACCTTGGGCGACGTGCGGCGCCCGTCTGGCATTCCTCCCGTCAGGAGAGGAATGGGCTTGTGATCTGGATATGCGGCTGCATTCAGGAGAGTGTTCGAGGATTCGGTGATACTTTTAGGTGTGTTTTTCTCTACCTGCTTTGTTCTTCTTGGTTATTTCCTACTGAATTGGTCCGAATGAGATCCTTGCTCTGGTCAATGTTTGTTTGCTTTTCTCTGTAAACATTTTCTGTGCTGGGGTAGTGCTAATTGCTGCCAAAGTGCATGTGTTTATGTGTTTTTTTTGTCTTATAATGGAGAACATAAGTATTGATTATGGGAGGGTGTCTGTTGTGGAAGAGGAAAATAGATTATTAGTGTTCGAATATGAAGCTTTGGATGTTCACAGTGGGGATGGAGAAAACTCATGTTTTTTGTTGTAGCTAGTAGGATTGTCACGGAGAAACCTGTCTGGTCTATCTCCTTTCGTGAGACATTGGCAGTGATATGACATCCAGGAAGAGGAGTGATCATTGAACAGATTGGTAATACGCGTTTTATGATTCAATTTTGTCATGAGTGATATCTCTCGGCTGTTGCAAGATGGGCCGTGGTCTATTGATAGGAATTTAGTAGTCATTAGAAGGGTGGAAGCGACAGATAGACAATCTACCCCTAAGTTTTATGACGGAAAAAGTGGTGACAGACATTGGTCGTTATTTGAGATGACTGATTCAGATTGATGAAAGAATGCTAAAGGGACCCAGTAAAGAGTATCTTCACATCTGTGTTTCTATAAATATTAAGAATGCCTTGAAAAGAAGAACGCAGATTAGAGAAGAGGATGATAGCTGGTTCTGGACGAATTTGAAGTATAAGAGACTCCTCAACCTTTATTTCATCTATGGAGTACTGAACCATACCGATTGCAATTGCCCATCAAATACCAGTTCGGAGATGTGGGTGGGAGAGAAGTCTTATGACCCCTGGATGAGAGTAGATATGCGACACAGAGGGGTTCATCTAGGAAATAAATGGCTTATCCCGCGTGGTGGACGAAGTTTCATGAGTAACGGGGGAGCCAGTGAGAAGGACAAGCATCTGATGACTTACTTCAGAGGGAAAAGGAAAGATGGGCGCTGAGGAGGAGCAAGTACAAATTAGAGCCAGAGAGGAAGGAGAATCTAGGGAAAGAAGAGTTGTCGATTTACAGAATCTGGTGGAGATCAAGTCCATATGGCGGTTGATGGGGATGGGTCAAAAAATGGCTCAACGGCGGTGCTCCCGTAACAGCACCGCCAGAAATATTGACAGGCCTCGGCCCGTAAACGAGATACTTCCTTTGGAGGTGTCTTTACAAACCACTTCTCCCTTCCCGGTGGCTAGTAAAATCGGGATGCTTTATTTGAAGGTGGCTAGACAAACCTCTTCTCCCTTACTGGTGGATGGTAAAACCACAAGGCTTGAATTATTTTGTTGCTTTTATTTTAAAAAATATTGTTTAGTTACCCCCTATTTTAGTAGCAAGTTTAGCAGTGTTGTTAGAATAATCTACATCATTGGGGGGTTAGCAAATATGATTGGTCCTTGGGGGGTAATCGATTTTATGTCTCATCCCAGTGCAATCTTGAACTATTGTATTGCTTTACTTCTTGTTACTTTCCGTATGAATAAATAAGTCTTCTTCTTTCAAAAAAAAAAATGTAGTGAGAAAATTCGTAGAAAAAAATAATTTGATTTAAATTTCTAACATGTCAGAAGTATTGAAGTTTTTTGCATTTTTATACTTTGGTGTATGATCATTCGTACCCAATTTGACATGTATCTCATTGATCCGTCGCCCAATTATCATCTGTATTTTTAGAGTTTCCGTCCACATGCTTAGGTCGTATTGCATGGATATCCATGTGTGTCAATAAAATTGTCAGATGAGTCTCAACGTCTTCTAAGCTCATTAGAGCATCTACAATGGGTGCTTCTATGGACTTGTTAGCAATTTTCAAGCAATTAACCTACCATTGGAGTGCATCTTACCTTTTAGCTTGCGCAAGCAAATTAATCAAAAGAAGCTACTTGCTCGAAATGAGAGAAGTGTGAATTAAAATGGTAATTACCAAATATATTTAATTTAATTGTAATTGATATACTAAATTAATTAATAATTAAACGGTATAGTTAGCAACACAACGTAAAGTTCTAAATTAAAAGTGGGTTTCAGTTTCATTACCGTTAATTGTAAATAGAGAATGATTTTTAAATTGAGTTTACAATATTTTCTCCTACTCTATCTCTTTTTATGGAGATAAAAAATTGAATTGATATTGCTTAATTTAGTATATTTATTTTATTTAATGTTTTTCTTTGTTAATTTTAAGAAATGTTTAATTTTCTCATGAACTATTTAAAGTTGATATTTTTTTATGTCTATGTTGTTAAAATTTCTTATTTCTTATAACTTTTTACTTAACAAAATACATATTTTTGTACTAATTTT